GTACATGGCAACCAGACTTTGTGATCAAATGTTTGGGGTTAAAGTTCCTTATCCCCACCCCATTTTTAACTCCCTAAATAGAAATAGAATAAGGGATTAAAATCTCATATTTTTCATTTTATTTTCCTTCACTTTTTGTATCCAGTTATATGTATGTGCACTGGCCATTGTCACAGTCAGCAATACAGGAACTCTAGGAGTTTCAGCAGAGACATTAGCACAGGAGAATTAGCAGAGGAGACTGACTAAAAATGTGTTGGAGGGCTGGAGAAGCAAAGCTAAGACCATAGAGACTTGTAAGTGTTGCAAACTACGACCATCGTTAGTCTGCACAACGAAAGGAAAGTAATACTATCCTGGGTCCATGATTCTCTGTTACTGTGGCTATCCACTGTCACACTGCTGGGGCAGAAACTCTCAAGAAGCTGAGAAGCTAAATTCCTACTGGTGGGGCCTGTCAGGGATTCCACCTAAGTGCTACGCCGGTGCCCCGGAGACTGGAGGAGCATCCTTGTGTCCTAAGCAATGGATTCTGTTATCGGTGCAGAAACTCACCCATCTACCCTGCCACTACTACTGCCTCTGTCAAGGACTTCGACCAATGAAGACATAAAACAGGCGTCTGCCTTCTACCTCCCTCCAGGTTTCCAGCAGTTTCTCCTATTGGTAGAGGCTGATTGGAAGCCAGCCAGCTGGCAAGCTGGGGAAACCGTAATTTGCAGCCTTCTAGACCCCCATAGAGAAGACAGGGAGAGTAAGAGTGGAGTTGAGAGCCGGCAGACAAATAGCCAGCACAGTGTGTGACTTAAACACAGATGTCTCCCATAGCACTGCTCTGTGTCTCCAGATGTTTTCTATTTGGTTTGTTTGAAGTAAACTGAACATCTGCTGAATGTTTCAAAACTTCTAATAGAACACTATCGCATCACATTAAGCCATCTACCGATCAAACTTCTCTTTCTTCTGGCCATCTACTCTTTTCCTCATGAGTGGGGGAAGGCAGGTTATGCAAATTCTGCCAAAACAAACAGAATGCCTCTTGCGCTTCACACCCTGCTCTCTAGAACACTGGGGAAATGATTCCGGCCCTCCTGACTCTTGTCAGTGCTTTATAAACTGCCAGGTGCATTATGTATGTTGTGTGGGACAACTCTCGCTTTGTCTTTCATGAAATGACTTCAAGAGATGCTCCTTATTTTCTCCTCAAAATGTATCCCTCGTTTCTTCCCTAAACTTGCTTGAGAAACTATAGAAGGGGAGTGTGGTAGTTGGAATGCAAATAATCCTGATAGGGTCATATATTTGGATGCTTGATCTCTAGGCGGTGGAGTTGTTTTGGGAAGGATCAGGAGGTGTGGCCTTGTTGAAGAAGGTGTGTAGAGTGAAGCCTTCCTGCCAGCCTGGTTCCAGAACCGCATCAGTCCCAAATGAACACACAGGACACTGTATTAATTATGAAGCTGTTGGCTGTTTGCTTGTTTCTTGCTGGCTAACTCTGACTTAAGTATTTATCCCATAATTGTTAATCTAAGTATTTCTCTTACCGGAGAAGAGTTCCGGACATCTTACTTCTCTGGCGGGCTACATTGTGACTCCCTGTGTTTCTCCTTCCCAGAGTCCTCCTCGACTCCTAGTCCCACCTATCTTGCTTCCCTATTGGCCAACAGTGCTTTATTCAACAACCAATTAGAGACAGATTTCAGAATGACCTCTCCCATCAAAGGTGTGTCACGGGGTGGGTGGGGGGAGCTGAGGTTTCAAAAGCCCACAACAGGCCTAGTCTCTTACTCCCTGCCTCTGACTTTGGATAAAATGTGAGCTTTCCGCTGCTGCTCCCGCACTGTACCTGCCTGCCTGCTACCCTGCACTCCATGATGGCTACGGACTTATCCTCTGAAACTGTAAACAAATCCCCAGTTTAACGCTCTCCTTTGTAAGTTGCCTTGGTTGACGTGTCTCTTCACAGCAATAGAAAAGTAACCCAGACAGGCAGGCCACAGGCCCTAGTTTTGGACTCATGGGCTCACTGCAGTTGTGGTGGCCTACGTAAGATCTGAACAGGACTGAATCCATCAACATTTCATCACAGGTCAGGGACGGGCTGAGGAGGCCCCACCATCCCTGAGGGATTATAGGTGGTTCCTGGTTGCTGGGGGAGGAAGCATCACTTTTTTTAGGTAATATAGCCACCGATAAGTTGTCCTTGCTCTGGTGGACAACATCCCATCCATATCCAGGCAAGGAACTCTAATTAAACGCAGTGGTCCACACACAAAGAAGGCACAAAAATGGGAGGAAGACTTGCGGGAAGAAGGGTTTCAGTGGGAGAGGGAAGGGGACAAAAGGGAAACAAAGGGCATAAATGACTAAACTTCAAACAGCAGAAAAAAACCTATTTTTTGCAAGTGATTATATAGAAGTCAGATAGATGCACAATCATGTAAAATGTTGTTCCATTGAGCTAACGGTCTTTTGAAACAATAGACTTGGATCTGGAGACATGAGCTCTAAGGCCAATGGATTCTTCTTAGACTTTCTCATGGGTTTATTGAAATGGAATTTTCTTTTTTGGGTCTGAACCACACTGCTGTCTGGAAGGGAAGTCCCAAAGGGGTGGAAAACAGGAGAATGTGATAGCTCAGAACCACTGTCACACGTTAGTCAGAGCTTAGGGACACTATCCCTGTCCTGTGGTTCGTTTCACAGGTAAAACCAGATTATACTGAACGACACAACAAGCAAATGCAAACTCGGAAAGTGAAGGAGGTTTCTTTAGGAAGTGGAAGTCTCACATACTTGCTATGGAGCGTTGAGCCTGCCTCCATACCTGGCTCCTCCTAAGGTCATGAGGAATGCAGGGAGCAGAGACAGGGGTAACAGCGGGTCATCAGGTACAGCCATATGTGAGGACATCACATTTATTGACTTCCTAGGTATATTATAGCCATGCTTTGCTATCATCTCATTTTAATTCATATGGATAAACAATCTCATGTTACCTCCTTTTCAGAAAGAGGAAACAAGAGATCTCACATCTAGCAAGCAGCAAAGTGGGATCCATTGTCTGTCTACTGTATTCACATGCTAGTTCTGGCTAACACATGAGGCCTGTCCCTGTTGCAGCAAGAAATAGAGACAAGCCATGTCCCCTGGTCACCTTTTGTACCCCAGGCACTATGCTACCAACTGGGACACAAATTGCCTACTCTGTTCTTCCTAGGCACCCTGAGTGATCTTCTGTTTTATAGAGGAGAAACAAAGTCTAATGTCACAAATTTGTGGAAACAGAGGGTGTAAATACAAATTTGACTTTCTCCCAAGTCATGTTTCTATGGCATCAGTTAATCTATCTTGGAATTTACAGTATAAGCATCTAGAATCCAGGAAGATTGCTCATAGGACAAGAGCCATGCAACTGAGCAGTGCCAGCATGGGGTAAGAAGAGAAAGTTGGGGACTGGGACCATGACACACTTGCATGGTTATTTGATGTTTTGTGGTCTTGTGTCTCTCAGAAGTCCAGAGAGGCCCAGTCCAGTCCATTTTTATTTTTTCCAGCACCCAGAAGAAGCCTGAATATTTGAACCCAGTCAAATAATTCTACTGATAACCCACAATGGATGCAATTCTTCTTACCACCTACACCCTCATTTGAGAACTGGCTCCCCAGAACAAGCTCTTTTCATAGCAGAATCAAGGTCATCCTCTTGGGTGTAGCCAGGCAGGACCCAAGGCAATCCCTAGAGATTACTGTGTCCCTTTGAACCCAGCAGATGGTCCACAAACATCTCTTGGGCATCTGAAAAAGCGCCTTAACTTATTTTTTTAATCCTCATCATCTTAAAGTGTTTCGCTGTAGCAAATGTCATGGGATCACACTGGAATTTGCCAGCCACACTGTGAGCAGAGTTGGTGCCATTAATGACATAAAGGGTGAAGCGAACAGATACATCATCATTTTCTCCCCATGGGTTATAGTCATGTCCTTACCCTTCTATACCCTGCTGTCCTTTGACGAAGACAAAAGGAGGAGAGCTTGTATTACTGGAAAACTGCCATCTAGAAATTCCTTCTAGCTCAGGGTTTTGCCCTCTCAACCTAGATCTCTCACTGGTCCAAATGAGACACATAAATGCCAAACAGCTCAGACATGGAAGGAGGGGAGAAGGGCAGGGAAGATGAGGAAGGGAGAGAGGGGAGGATGTTAGTTTTCATTTAAGGTCGTAGCTAAGCTAAGCTACTGTTGGGGAACATCACTCGTAGAAAACACTTTTGATGGCCCACGTGGCTTTGGGGAAAGCACCCGTGGGAAGCAGCACATTCCAAGGACCAGAAGAGCAGGACCTCCTCTGTCACGCTGCCTCTAGATTCTGCCTCCACCATCTTTCAAACCAGGGCTCAGAGAGGCAGTAGTGGTGCTGCTGCTCTTCCTCCATTTTGGAACATGCGTGCAGATCATTGAAGACATTTGAAAGACACGCCTCCTGGTGATTTGTAGGAGGGTCCAGCGACAGACTGCCTCCTAGCTCTCAGCGGACTCCGAGGATGCTTTGAAATGTCGCTTTCCTGCCTCACATTTGAGTTCCTCTTTCACACGTGGAACAGCAAGGGCCGCCACACAAATAGCCTTTCCGGGAGTCATGGAGTCCTCAGCTCCAAGGGGGCTGCCTGGATTGGAGTATCTGACCCCTCCCCCTGAGCCCTCGAGCCTGTGTTCTCAATGGTGGAAGATTCTAATTAACATGGTATTCTACCTGGGAACCTGGAAAACTAACTCTGTCTTCGTCTTTTCCCATTTTTTTTATGTGATCTGCAGGACGGAAGTCATAACTTAGAAACAAAACTCATACATAGGCATCAGACCGTCATAGAAAGTTTTGTAATAAAAAAACCTCATACAACGGCATGTATGAGGCCACTTGAATTGGGTTCTTCGTATAACTAGGACTGTTGACTCAGCAAAGTAAAAAAAACTTCTCTGGGATTGAGTCCTATACCCACCTGTTGTCACTGTGTTCATCTAACCAGTGGCAGATTCCTTGGGGAGAGAAATCGCATCCGAATGGAATGGCCAGTGTGCTGATCTCAAGTTCTACTTGCCTTCTGGACTTCAATTGCAGATGATCATTGCCTAAAAATAAATAAACAAACAAATAAGCAAGTAGATAAATAAGTGATTCTATCGAAGTCTCTAGTTTGGGCCTGGGAACTGCCGTATTAATCAGGGCATCCCTACCAAGACAGCAGTGCCCACTGGTTGGTAAGAGGCACAGAGACAACTTTAGGGAACACTGTCTGCTTTATTGCACTTGACCAGCCACTTATATAGTGGAAGTCTGTCTACTGTGATTGGTTAGTACAATACCTTGGATTGGATGAGCGCTCCCATCATCAGGATGTCTATAGGAAGACACACATTGAAGTAGATGTGAAGAGTGCAGACTCACCTGAAGGCCAGCTACTGCCTACTCAAGCTACTTCGGAATTCAGTGTTCTGATTTCAGGAGCATGGTATGCCATGCTTCTTACTTAGAAGCACAGTGTGCCAGCTAGGCTGACTGCTAGGCCATGCCTACATTGTCTCCTACAGGGGACCACATAACTGGCAAGCATAGGGACCTAAGTTCTAGTTCTAGAACCTAAGTTTAAAAAGTTGGATGAGATGGCACAGGCTTGTAATCCCATCACAGACAAAGTGAAACCTGGTGTATCCCTAGGGCTTACCAACCAGCCCAGTCTACCTGGCAACATTAGAGACCCTGCCTCAGAGAGACAGAGACAGAGATAGAGAAACACACACACACACACACACACACACACACAGAGAGAGAGAGAGAGAAAGAGAGAGAGAGAGAGAGAGAGAAAGAGAGAGAGAGAGAATGGGGGGGGGGAAGAAGAGACAATTGTGCCTGAAGAATGAAACCCAAGGTTGTCCTCTGGCCCCCAACACACACACACATACACACAAAGAGAGAGACAGATACACACACACACACACACATACACACAAAGAGAGAGACAGATACACACACACAGAGACACACACACACAGACACACACACACAGACACACATGCACACAGAGACAGATACACACACACTCACACACACACACACACACACACACACACACACACAACCTCTGCTTCCGTCATATCAGCGAAGCAAAGGTCCCTGCTGCCTTCCATACCTGATGGTTAACACCCTGGAGCCAGAGCAGCCAGAAGACACCGATGCATCTCCGCACCATCAGTGAATGGATTCTCCAAGTTGCCCCTGAGCAAAGGCCTTGTCTCCCACTTCTGACATGCGTACTCATTTACAGCTTTAGGACATTTTCTGAAAATACCAGGAACCTCTGACATAGTCCTTTGTCATTTCCTACTGCCCTTCATGCTTTTCCAAAGCCTTGTCCCTAAAGACAAGGCTCTGTGACCTAGAGATCACTGTCAGGTCAACAGTAGAGCTCTTTGGTGCCTAATACAGGAGGGGTCTGCTAAACATCCTCTGTTTGTAGTCACTGGATTGACATCTTTTCCAAAAGCAGATTGCAAATAATCCCCGTACACTGAAACCAGGCACTAGTCCTCACAAGAAGTAGGGCTCCGGCATCACCAATTCACATGTGTCTGTACACTCGGTCCCTCCCCTGCTGGCTCCCCCACCCCTGGCTGCAGTGAACTCTGTATTTATTTGCTGACTGCAATTCTTTTGCTTCTGATTTCATAGTCCTGCCTCTCTTGGTATTAGAAGCTGTATAAACAGCCTTATCTTTTGGCTGCAGTTTTTCCAAAAGCAAACACCTAAACTCCTTTCCTGTCTCTTTGCTGCTGGCTCGATATACTATACTGGGTTGTGTCAACTTCCCAGACCATTCTTCAGGGCCCTGTATGGCTTCATGGAAAAATACAGTGCCGCAGGCTCACTAGGCTGGTGGCCTGATCTGGGTTCATGGGGTCATGAGCAACACAGTGTGGTGCTAACTAAGGTTAAGGTTAACTGCGCTTCGTGCAGCTCCTCCAGAACACAAGGGCAGGCGGGTATCATTTTCACACACTAGCTTCAAGTCTGACACCTGGGAAGTAGGTTGGGTGTAGTCTACAAAGATTTGCTGGACTAGCAAGTAGGCAACTATTCACACCAGCAAGCACTGCCTCTCAGAGCAGGGGCTGGATGCTCAAAGGGGGGAAAAATCTCTTCACTGTTCTTCATTCCTCTTGCAATTAACAAATTCCTCCATTCACCCAAGTTTAATTGGTTTTCTTCTTCAAACCTGCCAAGGAACTCCCAACTGCCCTTAGTAGAGGTCCTTTATGGGCAATTTAAATCCAGTCCACTTACATCTTCAAATCTGATCAGCATGTACTAATCCCCAACATGGAGCTTGGTTTTTAAGATTGTTTCTTTCGTGAGTGAGTGAAGAAATCACACGTGCATTCCTGACTCCCCGATCGCCTCCCAAATCTTTGGACATGATATTAAGGAGAGCCCCATATTTTATTGCCTTTATACCCCCACCCTTCCATAGCCCTTTTCTCTGGGGGAAATTTCAATGGCTTTCTTTCTTGTTGCACAGATGTGAAGGGTCTTCCCACCCTGTGCTGGGAAACAAGCATCCCAGCCCTACAGCTTCTTTTCCTAGGACGAATGGCCTGAAGTTCACCGATCACACATCCAGCTCTCCTTTGCACTCTTGAGAATTTGTTCCTCCAACCAGCGTAGCTGGCTGTGTCAGATGTGGGCTAGCCTGAACACCAAAGTGTTTGTTGTGCGGGCAACAGAATAACGCCTGAGAACACAGTCTGGAGTGTGGGGCTCTTGTGCGTCACGGTGTGGGGGGAGCCCTGTGGCTGCGAAGGGCTCTGAAGCCTTGGTGGGAGCCCACACATTGGTCCTCTCAGCCAGGAGTGTCACCCTCAAGATGCAGAGTGGACTGGAAGTGAGATGTGGGAAACAAGAGTGGAGAAAAGGGGAAGAGGAGAGAAAGGAACTAGCTACACAGGAGAATACAATCAAAGCGCTTATGTGCTCATGTATAATAGCGCAAGGGAGCCCAGTACTTTGTACAATTAACATGCCCTAATCAAAAGTAAGCTAAGGGGTAGGAAAGATGGGTTAGCAGCTGTGGACAATTGTTGCTCTTAAAAGGATATGTGTTCAGAGCCCAGCAACCACACTAGGGAGATCACAATGACCTGCCCTTCTGAGGCATCTGACACCCTCTCCTGGCCTCTTCAGGCACCCATACACATGTGCCTTCTACTCACAGATACACAGACACACACCACACAAACACACACACACACACACACACACACACACATGAATAAAAGATATACATACATACATACATACATATGCCTAAAAGACGTGCCACGGTGGTTCAAACTTGTAACTCCAGCTCTTTGGGGACTAAGCCAGTAACAACCAGGTTAATCTGGGCTATTACACAGCAAAATCCTTCCAAAGAAATCACACCCATGAAAGAAAGAAATTAGTATGAATTTGTCACATACATTAATATATGGAAAACCTTAATCTCTCAGGCTCAGGTTATAGACTAGAAAGCTCACGTGTCCCATGACTGCTATGTGAAGGAGGCCTTCTATTTGTTGCTTTTCTCCTTGCTGTAATACAAACATCCCACAAAGGCAATTTAAGAGAAGAAAGGTTTATTTGAGCTCACAGTTCAAGGCGATCAGACCGTCACAGTGGGGAGGGCATGGAGGCTGGGGCAGAAGGCACCTCCTCAATGCTAGGACCCCAGACACACGCCGCTATGACTGGGCTTTACATGGGAGCTAGGATCCCACTGCAGATCTTCACGCTTGCACAAGAAGCATTTTACCCACTGCTGTCTAACCAGCCCCTAGAGTTGGGTTCTTAATTTAAATGGACCTTTTCCCTACAAACACTTGCCTTTGAGAGCACTTTATTCTCTTGGAGAGATGATGAGCCTGGGTTATACGAGTGGAAAGAGTGGACCACCGATGGGGATGAGAAGCCAGTGTTGAGTCAACTAAACTGATGCTCTACCTCCATCATTCTCACTCTTGTTAGCGCTTCAGTTATAAATTCCTCGTGTTTTGGGAAGACCGTGCCAACCCTACTTTTCCCATAAGTCCAATCAATTTTTTCAGACTCAGTTTTGCAGAAGTGAAACCGCAAGGAGAGGTGGGGTGGGTGGATAAATGCCGTGACGGTAGAAAATGAGATATTTGGCAATTTATGCCTTACTGACCCCGTAGTTTCCTCCCCCACTTCTCGTTTCGTTTAACTGTGTCATCCGTGCTGGTTTCCTAATGCTGCCATAGCAAATTCCTAGGGGCTGAGAGGCTTGAAGCAACATAAATGGCAGACATCTACAGTGGGGGGGTATAGTGTACTGGTCCCTTGTAAGCAAAAACACTTTCCTTCCCTTCCCGTTCCTAGAGAATGTATTTATCCCTTCACCCGTGTGCTAGCTTTATCCTTCCTGTGAGCTCACATCTAAGGAAGATGACTCGAGGGAGGAGGGACAGATTTAGGATCGTGGTTATAGAAGGTTCAGTCCGTGGTCTCTTGGCCCCCACATACTAGGGCAGAGCCTCATGGTGGCAGGAGCATGTGGAAGGCACTGTTCACTCAGTGGCAGGCAAGAGGCTGACAGCAAGGAAGGGATTTTGCACCAACTCCACCCTTCAAAGGCCCACCCTGCTAACCTTCCTCCAACCACAGCCATGTGTCTCCTAACGTCTCCCACACATCTCCAAACAGCAGCACTGTCTGGGAACTACGCATCCAATCCGTGAAAATAGGGGAGCGCTATTCACACACACAGTCCTCCCCGCTTCAGAATCCATCAAAGCCAGTCTAGCCTCCCGTACACTGTGTAACAGTGGCTCCCTCACCCACCCTCGCCACTTATGGAGACTCTCAGGATACACCAAGGCCACCTCCACATCCTAAACGCACCTCCTCTTCTTAGATCTTCAGCGAAGTCCACAGGGCCCAGGATTAAAATGTGGGCATTCGAGGGGCCCCACTATTCTCCTTCCCAGTTAGCTGTCATTTACTCGTGTGTGTATTGCTACTTTGGTATCCCAAGAAATTAGATGCCTATTTTTCATTCTATGCCCAACAGTAAAGATTCAGGGGGTGATTCCAATTAACTTTTCCCCTTCAGTTTATTAAATCACACAAAATCTATTTTAAGGTGTGGGCTATGTTATGCCAACCGTGACATTTTACTTTTTTGTTAGCTATAGGAATACAAAGATGATTCATTATTTCCCTCAGTTCCCAATAAATTTGCCTTGCAAAATGTTCCAGTATTCTGAATGTAGGTTTTGATGCATGCATAAGACATAAAACTAAATGCAAAAAATGTGCTGTTAGAGACTGTGCAGTTCTGTAGGCTGAAGAGACAAGAAAGAGGAGAACCAGGTAGAAAGGGAGCCAAAGGATATGTCTTCCTCAAACTTTCAATAATGCCATGGGTGAGGAAAATCACAACAGTAGAGAGAGGTTAAAATGACGTGTGTGAAAATGTAATAGTTCGATAATGAGAACTTGAAAGATAGCGAAGGGGACTAGAGAGATGGCTCAGTGGTTAGGAACACTGGCTTCTCATCAAAGACTGGGTTCCTTCCCCAGCACTCACGTGGTGTACCATGCTTGTCATTAACTCTAGTCCCAGGAGATCGGACACCCTCTTCGACCTCCTGAAGGTACTGCTGTGTATCCCAGGCTGGCATGGCATTTGAGGGAGTCCTCCTTTCCCTGTCTCCTGAGTGCTGGAATTACAAGTATGCACCCTCATACCCGACAAGATGATTTATTAAATGCCTAAATGTCGTTTTTTTTTTTTATCTGTGAAACTAGTAACTAGGACACTAGATATGAGCAGGGTCAAATGACAAAAATAACATTTTCATTTATTTTTACTCTGTAATCTAATAATCTTTCGTTTCATAAAATGGTGAGGCAGGAGTTAGTTCATAGTAGGCAGTGAGAGAAGAGGGTCATGGTGAAAACTACGAGTGGCCTACTTACACTACCATGGCAATGGAAGTTGAGGTGGGAAAGGAAAGCAAGGGTTAAAATGGTTCCACCAGGAACACTCCTAGAGAGACAAAGATGCTTAGAGCTAGAAAGGAGATAGGCAAATGGGCCTAGAGGAGACAGACAGGCTCTCGGAAGCAAGCCCAGTTATAGAGGAAGGCTGGCTAGCTTCCACACGCTCTGTCTCGCTTTGGAAACACAAGCTAGGCACCATTGCTTAGCACATACTCTTCACCGACTGCTCCTAATGCAGCTAGATGTAAAAGACTAAGTTGCGTGTAAGAATGATGTCTAATAAGCCCGCTCGCTTTCAGGACAGAGACCCCGAGCCACCCCTCTGTAGACAAAAACACACCTGAAGCATTTGCATGCACTTCCTGGTTACAAGAGGACAGGCGTATCTCAGGATAATGAACAGCCTTTGGAACACCTGCAGGGTCAGAAAGTGACGAACAGCTGGCTAACGGTCAAGGTGGACAACTAACAAAGCCCAAGTCAGACGTGGGCAGACAGAGGCTTCAGCTGCCCGTGGTGGCAGAGCGCAAACCGCACATGGTCATATTCTGTTCGGGCCAGGGAGACGAGCATGCAGTATATGGGCCCTCATTGGCTCAGCCTGCAATAACCCAGAGAATTAATCAGTTTCGACAGAGAGTATCTCAGCTTTGTCCTGTTTCTGTCTCTGCTCCATAAAAACCACCAAAGAAATTCAACGGCCTTTCCCTCTCTTGGAAACCCCTCCCAGCTCTTGGGAATTCTCCTCGGTTTTCCTTAGTTTCTCACTTCTATCAAATTTCTTATTTTTTTCTATAATAACCCTTATTTCCACTTTGCTTACTGCCATAAAAGTCTACAAAGAGACAACCAACTCTGGAACTATGGTCCCAGGTTCATCTTTGGCCACGGTAAGGGACATCTTAGGCCCCTGGAACATGCTCAGTTGGGCTGTGAAAGGCTCCCCATCTCAAAATATTGCATGGTAGAAAAGTGTTACAACCAGCAAGTCAAAGGATCCTGGTTTCATGGGGGCGGGGGGAGTGGTGAAGTTTTTGCAGTATTTTCTAAATTGACTCATAATAATTGCCCTTTTTATGAGCTAAAATTAATAATCTCAAAGTTACTTTGTCCTTCAAATGAAGACAGGGAGATAAAACAATAATAAATAATTGATTGGCTAATATCAGGTTATTTCAGGTTAATTTTGTGGTAAGGACTAAGATAGAGGGAACTTAACGACCATGCCAAACGAAACTGGCCTGCTGGGGAAGTTTGCTTGTTATCTCTGAAATCCCTATTACTTGAAAGGTCAAATAAACAGCTTTGTCTTGGTGAGGGGGCAGTTTAGTGTGAGTACTTCCATTTTGATTTTTAGCTTGGTCTTCTGGGCTCACCTATGACAGCTTAGGCCAAACAATAGGCTTCTGTAATTCCTGCTGAACAGCAGCGCACATATTTTCACTGAGTTTATTGTTAAATAAAGTTTCCTGAATCAAAGCTACGATCACAGCCACTATGGTAACAGACAAACCAATACTAGGACGGCTAGAGGAACACGAATGTCCTCTCTAGAATCTTCGATGCAGTGACGGGTGACAAGAAAACATGAAAAGGACCATTTCTGAGAGCAATGGTACAGTATAGCCAAGAAAAAAATGATTGTTCCAAAAGAACAAAATTTGAATTCCCAAAGATCAGTGCGAATAGGCCCACATTCCCAGCTGTGCCCCTCACAGTGTTCTGTCCACAGATGTGGGAAGACCACTGTCCAACCAGGGCTGGCTTGAGCCCTGCAGGAAGAAAGTCACGAAAGCACTTATGGGAATAGTATAGTAAGAGTTCCAGGCAATGCTGCAAAAAGCCTTCTCCATTGCTTCACACACTTGCCCTTTTATGCCACAGTGCGAGACACACACACACACACACACACACACACACACACACACACACACACACACACACACACACGCAGCTGGCAGTGGGCGGGACTTCCTGGTGAGCAAGGAAAGCAACTGCTGCTGGAAGAAAAGGGAAGTACCTGCTTCTGGTGAATTTTGCCTTCGGTGGCAAAAATGTGAGGAACTTGGCAAACTTCCCAAGAAGTCTATAGTACATACTGTAATTATAGGAAAGCAATCCCCGCCAGACTCGTGAAGTGAAAGTGAGCGGTTCTCACTCAGGGACTCTGCCGTACATAGAAAAAGACTAGCATGAGAAAGAAAAGAGCCGATTCTATCATAGTAAGTAAAGTAGTTTATAGATGTTGTTTAAGATTTTTGGGTACCCAAACGATAATTGCTTTGACTTTTACACTTTAAGATATCTTGCCACTTAAATTTTAATTCAAAAAAAATTTTAATTCATCCGTCAATAATTACTGAGCAGCTAACTCCAGATGCTCATTTGAATATAGAAAAAGAAATAACATTTTAAATCTGCAATGAATGCATCTCTTTCATTTTGCATTTAGTATCTACTTATCAGTCAATGATGCATATTTAAAATATAAATATCGGGCTTCCTTTTTTTGTCCTCAAACATATAAAAGTACACGGAAAATTGCTATAAGGTTTTGTTGTTGTTGTTGTTGTTTTTTGAGACAGGATTTCTCTGTATTGTTTTGGAACCTGCCCTGGAACTCGCTCAGTAGACCAGGCTGGGCTTGAACTTATTGAGATCCATCTGTCTCTGCCTTCCAAGCGCTGAGATTAAAGGCGTGCGCCACCAATGATCTTTTCAGTATATTTACTTACCACATACCCTCAATTACTTGATCAATATATAGACAAATTTCTGGCATACTCAAGTTGATAGGCTAGGAAAAGTTAATTGAAATTATCTTGGTTGTGGTTGCTTTTTTGTAATTCAGTTTTTGAAGATGGAGGTCTGAGCATATTTTTTAGATTATACTTTGATTATAACATTTATCTCTTCTCATTTTTAATGTTTTATTATACTGTGGGTATTGATATGACCATCCCATGGAGGCTCCATCTGAGAGAGGCAATGCCGTGTTAGAGATAGGACTCTTAATACATGGGTCTGTATCTTTAAGTCCACAGCCTGAGTCAGATCATGCCTTTCTGCACCTTTCTCTAAGACAGAGTTAAGAAGCCATCTGAGCTGTGACTTGACAGTACTCAATTTATGGTACCCAGCTCCTCATGCTTCTTGTCTTATATGCTATGCTGAAGTAAATCCCACAGCTCCTTTGTTCTCTTTGTTCTGTGGATTTTGGTCTGAAGAATCCCCTGGAGAGTATTGGTCAGAAGGTATTCCCCCAACCATTCCTCTTAGAGCAGCTCTCTCTCTCTCTCTCTCTCTCTCTCTCTCTCTCTCTCTCTCTCTCTCTCTCTCTCTCTCTCTCTCTCTCTCCACTGTTATCATCGCTATCATCATCACTTTTGGTGATGCTGTCCCCCAAACTTTAAAGGTGAGTCTCTCCTCCCTTTGTGACTCTGCAGCCTTTAGATCCATGTGGTATATTATTTCTACCTAATAGTTTCCCTTTCACCTCAAGGTTCAATCATGGCCTCAAGGCCCTGCCATTCTAATAAACCTCATTAATGGAGTTACGTGTCAGATTCCCGTCAGGACCAACTGTTGGTGTCCATTTTTAAATCATATTTAACAGACTCTCGGTGCTGCTAAGGCATCGATAGCCAGCCAACAGCAGGATACTGAGAGGGAAAGAGTGTGCTGGATTTTTTTTTTACTGGACAAGCCTAGAAGCCTTGTACATCACTTCTGCCTGTCTCCCAATTACAGGCCTAAGTCGTATCATCCAAACTTAATACGAATCTTTCTGGACAGCGTCATCTCGGGCTGGGTACCAGCAAAGACCTCTGATAAATAATCAACAGTTTGACCACACGTATCGCTTACACCCTGGACACTACCCATCCTCCAAGCCTTCATTGGGATAGTGCCAGAAGCAGTCACGTGAGGCCCAGTCCCAATAGATTCACAAGGCTGTGTGTTTCAGTCTTGACATGTATTAGATTTGGTGTAGAGCATTAGAACTGCGAAGGTGAGAGATAGCCTTTCCAAGGGAATGTGGTGGAGATGGATGAGGCTATGCCCGCCTAGCTCACACTCAAGGCACACCCGTGCTCTGGCCCTTCCTGCTTCCATTGCGCATTTGCCTAAACAAGTCTAGCCAATGGGAGATGGCTTTATGAATGGAAAGTGAGCTCTGTTTGCAATGATAAATGAACACATTACTGTGTTCATTGCCCTTGGGACAACTTTGGGAAGCCAGCTCAGAGCATCCAGAAGGTTTGCTGAGACTAGCTCTTAGCCATGGTTTCATTTAGCAATAAATTGTAGATGTCCTTTTTCAGTGACTAGCTACTGATGTCTGTGAAGAAAAGGCAAGTTTGTTTAGAGACCTGTTCATTTACTTAATGAGTTGGTGAGCTCCATGGTCCCTTCATTTCCCCTCACTGAAGTGATGGCTACAGAGCTGGGCGTTGGTGGCGCACGCCTTTAATCCCAGCACTCGGGAGGCAGAGGCAGGAAGATCTCTGTGAGTTTGAGGCCAGCCTGGTCTACAGAGCTAGTTCCAGGATAGCCTCTAAAATAATACAGAGAAACTCTGTCTCGAAAAACCAAAAAAAAAAGTGATGGCAATAGAAATCTCCATTTATTGCTATCTTATTGTACTGTCTGTTCAAGGATGGTACTGTGAAAAATTATAATCACAGCAATAACTCTATAAGGTAGACATCATTTTCATTTTTTAAAAATGAGATGCTACATCAAGGTTAAGAAGATCAAAGTGAATGGTGAGAAGGTGAACTGAGAGCTTGAGTCCAGACCTCTGTGACTCTAAAGTGTTCTTCCTTTTTGTCCTATGATGGGAATGACCAGTCGGCAAAAGACACAAGGCAGTCACCAGCCCATACATCCCTTCCTGGCAAGACTCTCCCAAATGAGGTTTCTTCAGAATGCTTGGAGCCAAAATTATCCTCATACAACAGCCCCCACATGCAATACCTTTCGCTCCCTCAATAGTAGGCATTCCTCACACATAGCTATGTATATAAAATGTGTAGTTTGTGGCCACCCCTGCCCCTCTTCAGTCTCACACAGCATGAAAGGCGAAAGTCTTGGATGCTTATGAGTGTTTTATGGTTTGAATATGAATTTCCCTCCATAGACTCACTTGTGGAAACCTTGGTCATCAGCACACAGCACAGTTTTAGGAGGAGCTCGAGACTTTAAGTAAGTCACTGGAAGCATGTTCTGGAGAGCTGAGCTCTTATCTGCCTCCTAGTCTCCCTGACATTAGCTGCTTTGCCCTGCCACACACTCCCTACTGTGGTTTTCCACACTGTCATTAATCAAGCAAACATCAGAGCCAATGGGGTCATAGGTTAAAACTTCTGAAATTCTGAGCCGAAATAAGCTGTTTCTCCTTTAAACTGACTCTTAGGTGTTTGTTACAGAAAAAAAAAAAAGACTGACCAATGTCAAGTGTTCATGTCACCGTCGATATCAAGAGGCCCATTCTTCTTTGTTTCACATAACTGCTTCTCCACAGTCAACAAACCAGGCATCCCTTTTCTGTATCCAGAATGTTGTAAAAGCATAGCTGACCAACCAGTCACTAAAACGGTCATTGTAGCGAAGAATCCATACCACTTTCTATTATATTCCCTGGTGGAAATATTTGTGTGCATGTGTTTAAAGACTCTAAGTGAAGGAAGCATGTTACACATTCCCTTAGGCTCTTAGGAGAATAATAGCATCACTTGTTAGAGGGTTAATATTACTAGGCATTGTGCTGAGTGTTTTACACACACCGTCTTGCTCCACCTTTGCAATGATCCGACAAAGACCGAATCATTTTGACTTTACAGAAGAACACATAATCGAATTTAGAGTCAGATTAAACAAGGGCAAAACAAATGATGGTAGCTCAGGGCTGCCTGACCACTTCTTTTCTCACAGCTGGTAGTAAAGGATGCCAGGAGGAAGGTCTGGAGTGGAGCAGGAAGCCGCTGGCATCAGGAGCTACCCAGAGGGCCCGCTGTTGCACAGTTATCGGAAAGGGAACACAGAGTCCTGAAGTTGCACAAGAACTATAAACAGAGCAAACGGAATCCATCAGACCCTGTGCTGACTAATCCCTTGCTGGACTGTAATCTCAGAAGACTCCTTTTGTGTACTGCTTGACCTAGGGACACAGCCCTCGGAGTACTGAAAACAGTGAGAGCCATGCCTGCGCTGTGAGCGAGTGCATTTTAGATAGTTTGTTTCTTCTTTAACAGATGGTATTGCTACTTCTAACAAGTCCCAAATACTCTGCATTTTAGATAGTTTGTTTCTTCTTTAACAGATGGTATTGCTACTTCTAACAAGTCCCAAATACTCTCTGGACTATTTTTAAGAATCCCAAAGAAGCTGGGGCTGAGTTTTGATAGGGAAGATTCCACAACTGGTATTTGTTGATAGAAGGAATTTTTAAAGTTTGTCAGCACTGCCTTTGGATCTAATGCTGTCCGTTTGAGATTCACAGCCATTTATGGTGACAGCAGTGGGATGTGATTAAAGGGCCTCTAACAAAATGTCTCTTCAAACAAATCAATCAATCAATCAATCAATCAATAAGTAAAAGGTCAGGCCCCCATTAGAAGTGATTCATATGCTTTAAGCAACAAATATATATGCAGACAAAAAAGACTGGGTAGTTCTGTAGGGCTGGTCCTGGTGGCAGGAGGGGTATGAGCCGGCCCTAAGGAGAGCTGGACCTACCCCTCCCTTCTTGTCTGCCAGGCTGTGATGTCAGTGAGGGAAAGATGCCCTCCCCCTCACCCCTTCCCACCCATGTTGGGCAGGAGAGCTGGCATCCGGTGCATAAAAGTGGAAGAGCTGGTCCTGCTCCTCACTGGCTGCAGCACAGTAGAGCTGGCCCTGGTGGTGTGGGCGCCAGTGAGCCTGCAGGGTTTGAGAGCAGGAGAACTGGCCCCGCCCCTTGCTGCCTGCAGCATTGGATGAGCTAGCCTGGGCAGTCCTGGAGAGCTCACCTTGGTGGCCACGTTGAGGGAAAGCTGCAAAGTTGACCAACTCAGCTACCACCCAGGCCCAGATCCAGGAGTATGAGTTGGCCCATCCCAACATCTGCCCCATCCATCAACAGCTGGAGCTTGTGAAAAGGTCCGGTCCTGGAGATCCAAAGCTACAGGATCTCTGGCACATAGGCAACAGCAGGATATCCAAGAGGAGACCCATTGAGGATCCAGTATTGATAGTGCCCCAGAAGCCAAATGCCTTGAACCAGACCAATGAACAATTGTGAATAAAATGTACAGACCCAAGGGTACACTGGGTGACTCACTGTGACACCCTACAGCTTCCACGAGTGAGACTGTTTTATCATTTTTGTCTTTTTTAAATTTTATTTTGGGGGAGACTGCAAAGGCAGAGGGTGATAAAGAGATGGAGAGACAAGTGGGATTGGGTCACATGATGTGAAATCTACAGGGAAATCGACAAAAAGTTTCATCTAAAAAGCCCATTTATTTTATAACGTATTTGTAACCATGGCTTTAAGAACTTACAGGCATAAATGAATCCATGCAGTGTGTCACTGAGTATTTTCAATTTGTCTTATCCTGCATATAATCTTGACAACAACTTCTGAGTTCGTGACAAAAAAAATTCTGTTTTCTATAACACAGATAAACTAAAATTTAGCAGAGGACACAAGTTCAGTTTCTTGTAATTTGAGATCCAGGGATTCAGACACCCTCTTCTGTCCTCTGTGGGCCCCTATACACAAGTACACATACTCAGAGACATACATACATATAATTAAAAACAAAAAAATTAAGAAACTGGAGTTCAGAGAGGTTAAATCTACAGGAGTAGTGCATAGCTGAGCTCAGACTCAAGCCCTCTGAAGCATCTAGAAAATCCTTGGGCATAGGGGGAAAAGGCTCCTATGCATGTATAGGTTTCTAATTTACACATTCAGCCCCCATTAGCCCATATTATACACTCATTAACACCACCAGAGCCTGTCCTGTGCTGTGGGAAGTGGCACATCGCATCAGAGATCCTGAAGCCATCTTCTTTTCCAGCCTCATGTCACAGGATTCTTAGCTTTTCTAAATGAGTTCCTTCATAGCCCTTGTGATCAGAGGGAACTTTCAGGCATAAGACACTTTTATAAAAATGTGAGAACACCTGTGCTTAGTTTGGAGCCGTTCCATCCACTGGTTCACACTAAGTTCTTTCTCTGCTCCTCTAAAAGAATTGGGTGAGCTCAGAGTGTATCTAGAGTAGAGATGCTATGTGTTGATAGCATGTGGAGCAATGCTGATGTAGCTTCACCTCTTGGGGAATACAAAGTAAAATCAAGCACTCCCAAGAAATAAAAAGTGGACACAGATTCATTATTTGGGGAGGTAAGAAGAGCACAGGAGTTACGTGCAGAGCAATGCACTTTTCCAACAATGAGTGCATGGGGGTTTTGTTGGGAGAGTCTACACATATCCATTCACACGGAAAAGCACGTTAGAGGAAGGTGCATTCTTGAGCATGCTCAGTAAGTATATTCCTAAGTATGTTAGGTTGTAATTAAGAAAGAAAGACGGTGGACACATCAAGGTCATGGAACATATGTTCAACATATGTCAAGCTTAAAATGACAGACAGTAACATTTGTGGGCATGCTCAACTTGCAATAAGCATGGTGAACCAGAAGGTCTTTGAGATGCTTGGCTTTCATCATAAACTTTTAGCTGAAACACAAAGGATCTTCTGTAGGTGTGTTAAAATGAGTTTCCCCTAAAGATGACCGCCATACATAATGGATAACACTAAACTTAGTTTTCTTCTTAATGACACCCATGGGGCTTCACTTTTTTAGTACATATCATGACTATACAACAAGAATCATAAAAAACTCTGCCAGATCTGAGCTTCTTGGCTTCTTCCTCATTCACCTAGCCTTATTGTAGCCTGAGGTAAAGTAAGCCAGCATCATTCCAGCTTTTCCAAAGACCTATAAAGTATTTCCTAGAGTTGAACATCATTGTGGTAGTTTAAATGTGATTGGCTGCATAATCTCATAGGGAGTGGCACTATTAGGAGGTGTGGCTTTGTTGGAGTGGGTATGGCCTTGTTGGCAGAACCGTGTCACTGAAGGGGTGGACTTTGATGCTCAAGATACCACCCAGCTTGTCAGTTGACTTCCTGTTGCCTGCAAGATGTAGGACTTTCAGCTACAGCACCACCATGCCACCATGCCATCATGACGACAATGGACTGAACCTCTGAAACTAGGTGAGCCACCCCAATTAAATGTTTTCCTTTAATAAGAGTTGCCATGGTCATGGTGTCTCTTCACAGCAACAGAAAACCCTAACAGGACATTCATATTTCAATTCTGGAAAGATTTTGATCATACCACAGACCTGGGGGGAAAACAGCAAACTGTCTCCTAGTTATTTCTAGAAGTGTTACCATCGGTGCTCCCACTTCTCAAGAGATCTCACGGTTACTGTTTCTTTGTAGATGAATGAAGGGGCTTTGTAACTGAACGAAATGCTATCTTCCTGATCCCACAGCTCAAGAGAACTTTTTGGCATGCTTCTTTACAGTCTAAGAAACCCTGCCCACAGAGATTTGCTTCACCTTCACCTCACTCAAGGGTGAATGAGACAAGAATTCCTTCCCAAGTAGCATGGCCCTCTTCTGTATTAAAACTCATTTAACCATCAAGAGATTCAATCCACAGAAAGCCTTGCACAAGCTAGATTTCTGTTTTGACCAATAGCTTGAAAAAAGTCTTAGACAGCAGCCAGAAGCCTATTATTAGGGCAAGTACTTGGTATGGAAGGATAGAAGAAAAACTAATAAAAATGGCTGCCTGCATTGAACAGATTAAGAGAAATACATAATTATATTTAGAATTTGTGGCATCCAAAAGCCTACATAACTGGGACATATGCTTTAAAAGAAAATGTAAAATTGTAATTACGAATTAGGAATGAGCTTTAATATTTAAAGTTAAAGAATATATTATATATACATTTTTAAAATTTGTCAACATGAATGTCAGTTTTGATTTTTTTGCTGTGAAGAGGCACCATGACGACAACAACTCTTAAAAGGAAGTATTTAATTGGGCTGGCTCACAGTTTCAGAGGTTCAGTCCATTGTCATGATGATGGGGGCGTGACAGCGTGCAGGCAGATGTCGTGCTGGAGCTGAGAGTGCCACATCTTGCAGGCAATAGGAAGTCCACTAAAGGTCACACTGAGGGAAGCTTGAACAAAGTCCATGCCCCACAGTGACACACTTCCTCCATCAAAGCCATGCTTCCTAATAGTGCCACTCCCTTTGCGGGGCATTTCCTTTCAAACCACCACGACAATTATAATGAAACTTGAAATATTCATTAAGTGGATCCTTAAAACACCTCTTTCATACTTTCTCCATACAATTATTATCTACTCTGTAGTAATCTAAATATATATGCATATATATGTGTATATATATATATCGTTATGTAACATAGGCTAGCCTCAGACTCATAATACTATACTGTCTCAGCCTCATGAGTGCTAATATGTCACATGTATACAACCATGCCTAGGTATAATGCCATATTTAAATGGAAAGAACTAAAATATTGTACATTATTTTCTTTATATGTTTAATCGAAACTCACTTTCATTATTGAGAAATTTAGGAAAGATTGCATTTCACAAATTTATTATTGATATTGTAATAAACATTGGGATTGTTTTCATGTTTGGGGAAACCTATATAGTCTTTTATATATATAAGTCTTGTTATAGATATAGTTACTGCCTGTAATTCTGTTAGAGATTGTACCCAATACTAACACAGGGCCTCATATATTCCAGACTCACTGTGTAGTCAAGAATGACCTTAACTGGTCTTTCGGCCTTCACCTCCTAAGTACTGGGATTATAGCTGAATATCAGGTATGTTTGATTATTTGGGTTTTTTTTAATAATGCCCCCCAAGACAGGGTTTCTCTATGTAGCCCTGGGTGTTCTAGAACTCACTTTGTAGACCAGACTGGCCTCAAACTCATAGATATCCTCCTGCCTCTGACTCCCAAGTGTTGGTATTGAAGGCATACACCACCACTGCCTAGCTGTTGTACTTATTTTATGCAATGCCGTGTCTCAAACCTAGGATAATTGAGTCACATCACCATCCTACAGATTTTATCTCATGAAAATGCTATGGGAAACCAAAGCATACACAAGGTGAACTCATATATGCTGCATGGCATGGCCAGAGTTAGCCTTGACCAGGAAAAGATACACTTTGGAGTGGGCATCACTGGAAACCCTATCCTTTACTTTGATGAATGGAAGGATTTCCCACAGACTGACTCCTGGCTTTATGTGTTTGCAGCCCCGTATTTCCTCCACTCACCACGTATTCTGGTGCCGCTGCGAATTGCCATGCTTTCTCTAGCTCTGCACATTTGTCTTGACATCGAACAAATCAACCCTGTCGGCTTGGGAGTATTCCTAGAAGTCATTCCTCAGCTTGGTGGCTATTCATAACTCAGCCATATGTGAAATAGCCTGGCAGAAATGACATAAGTATATCCCATTTCACCCAAACTAAATGCATTTCCTACACAAATGCCATTAAGGCAAGTACAAAGATACTTGGGGGCCACTCCCAATGCCAACAAAAGGAAAATAGAAACAGAAAGGAAGCCAGGATGAAAAGAGTCAGTCCTTTTGTGCTGTTGCAAATTTCACAAACACATGACCATTTGAACATACACACACACCATGCATTAGAAGCAGCCCAAGCAAGTCTCAGATCCTATAGAGGATAAGCCATTAGCCTCATGCCATGACACCTGTCTCATCACAGTCTTACAGAGCTTTAAAAAAAGGTTCAAGGGGCTCAGCTGTTAAGAGAACGGGTTGCTCTTCCAAAGGACCTGGGCTTGGTTCCCAGCATTCACGTGATAGCTCACATGACTGCTCACACCTGTAGTTAGTTCCAGTTTCAGAAGATCTGATACCCTCTTCTGGCCTCCATGGGCATTGCATGCATGCATGCATGCAGGGAGAGAGAGAGAGAGAGAGAGAGAGAGAGAGAGAGAGAGAGAGAGAGAGAGAGAGAGAGAGAGAGCGCAGCAAGACAGAGATAGAGAGAGCAGCAAGGCAGAGACAGAGAGACAGAGAGAGACAGAGACACAGAAAGAGACACAGAGAAAAGAAGCCGGGAGAAAAGAAAAAAGGAAAGGGAAGGAAGGAAGGAAGATAGGAAGATAGGAAGGAAGTTAACACCTATACACATAAAATAAAATAAATTAGATAAAACTCCTAAAATCCACATCTTGAAAGGTAGCGAAAACTTCGGGAGTCAGGGCCTAGTGGAAAGTAAGGTACATCTCTTGGGGATGAATTAAAGGGGCTATCAGTACCCGAGCCCCTCTCTCTCTCTCTCTCTCTCTCTCTCTGTCTGACTTTCCCACCACAATGTTTTAGCGTCTTTTCTCTACCACATTCTTCCCAGCGTGATCCTAACTTACCATAGACCCCAAGCAATGTGTCCATAAAACTGTGGGCTGAAACCTCAGGAACCAAGCAGCAAAATAAGCATGTCCTCTTTGCGTGGTTCCACCGCCATTACTTTGTTGCAGTGACAGAAACCCGACTGACAGAGAAAGCCTGGTACCGAGAAGTAGGGTCAGCTGGAATTAACCAGATAAGTTAGGGAAACTTTGGGGGAACTAGAAAAAGCCTCGCATCGACTGCTGTGAGTGGTGTTTAATGGGCAGGCGAGGCAGGTTCTCAAACCCAGAATGCAGACAGGAATGTGAACTGTAAAGACTGTGCTGATACAATTTCAACTAGAAACAAGGTCTCCTGGGGAACCGACTGAGAAGCCGTCTGTGGTACATTCTGGCAAAGAACTTGGCTACATTTGGCATTCTCTGAGAAGTGGTAAGTAGCTGAGCTTAAAGGCAATTGTCTTTCAGCCCATGAGAAAGCACTAGGTGAGGGAGCATTTGGGCTGCAGCATGGCATACCCTCCTCTCAGATTTGCAATACGAATCAGGAGCAAACAGCCGAGAGGAAAAGAGTGTTTGTACCGGATAGGCTTTAGGGTCAGTGTGACTAAATACCTCAGACAATAATTTAGAGCAGTGGCTCTCAAACTTCCTAATGCTGCAACTCTCTGACACAGTTACTCATGCTGTGGTGACCTCCAACCACACAGTTATTTTTGTTACTACCTCACAATTGAAATGTTTCTACTGTTAAGAATTATAAGGTAAATATCTGATGTGAGACCCCTGTGAAAGGGTCATTTGACTCCCAAAGGGGTTGTGACCACAGATTGAGAACTGCTGACTTAAAGGAAAACTGACAGATCACGATCTTAGAGTATCCATAGATGATTGTTTCCATTGTACAGAATGCAGTGGTGGTAAATGGATGTAGAAGACCTTCCAGTGCCCTGCATGGAACCACCTGAGACCTGGGGACTGAACACTGTGGATCCCATCCAATGAGACCCAGCCGGCCCAGAGACTGCCGGCGTTCTAGTCCCTTTCTCTGCCCATGGGACAGGTGAGGTAAGCATGGGCTTGTTTCTGTCCGCCTTCCAGTGCACTGTTTGGAGCAAGCTGAGGCCTGGGGACTGTGCATTGCAGATCCCATTCCAATGAGGTTCAGCCCACCCTGAGACTGCCAATGCCTGGGTACTAGGACCATCTCCATCCACAGGAAGAGGAAAGACACCAGATTATTGGACCTGCTTGCACCCACCGAAAGTGAATATTGGTCCCATACCCACCAGGAGAGGAAGAGACTCCTTCTGCACCCACTGGAAGAAGGCTTGGGAAGGAGACAATATAAAAACACACTCAGCAACAGAAAAATCAATATGACACTGCCAGAGTTTAGAGACTCTACACCAGCAAGACCTGAAAATCCCAAGGCAGATGAAGCAGAAGAGAATGACCTTGAAAACACTTCATGAAATGATAGAGGTCCTCAAAGAGGATATGAGAAAATCCCTTAAAGAAATGGAAGAAAAAACAAGCCAAAACTTTTTTTAAAATGGAGAAAAAGACAAAGCAAAAATTGCAAGGAACAATTCAAACAGTGCAAGGGTTGAAAGCTGAAATAGAGACAATAAAAAAACCACAGTCTGAGGGAATGCTTGAAATAGAAAAGATGGGAAAATGGTCAGGTATTATACATGCAAGCATAACAAACAGAATACAAGAGATGGAAGAGAGAATCTCAGGCATTGAAAATACAATAGGAGAAATAGATTCATAAACCAAAGAAAATCTTAAGTTCAACAAATCCCTAGCACAAAATATTCAGGAAATATGGGACACCGTGAAAGAACCAAACCTAAGAATAATAGGTATAGAAGAAGGTGAAGAAACCCAGCTCAAAAGTGCAGAAAACATATTCAACAAAAATCATAGAAGAAAACTTTCCCAACCTAAAGAAAGACATGCCAATGAAGGTACAAGAAGCTTACAGAATACCAAATAGAGTGGATCACATAATAATCAAGGCAAGAAGCAAACAGAATAAAGAAAGAATATTAAGAGCAGTTAAGGAAAAAGGTCAAGTGACATATAAAGGCAAACCTATCAGAATTACACCTGACTTCTCTATGGAAACTCTGAAAGTCAGAAGGTCCTGGATAGATATTATACCAACACTAAGAGACCATTGATACTATACCCAGCAAAGCTTTCAGTCACTATAGATGGACAGAACAAGATAGCCCATGACAAAACAAGATTTAAAAAAATACATATCCATTAATCCAGCCCTACAGAAAGTTCTGGAAGGAAAACTCCAACCCAAGGAAGTTAACTACACCCAGAAAAACATAGGCAATAGATAATCCCACTTTACCAACAGGCAAAAGAAGAAAAGGGTGGAAATTCACATACAATTCCACCACCACCAACCAATCCAAAACAAACAAGAATGAACAATCAATGGTCATTAATATTCCTCAGTATTAATGGTATTAAATCGCCCATTAAAAAGACACAGGCTAACAGGATGGATTCGAAGACAGAATCCATCCTTCTGAGGCATACAAGAAACACACCTCAGCTTCAAAGACAGATGTTACCTCAGAGTTAAGGGTTAGGAAAAGATTTTTCCAATCAAATGGACCCAAGAAATAAGCAGGGGTAGCAATCCTAATATCTAACAAATTAGACTTTATATAAACAAGCTGGGAAACAAAAATTACATGATCATCTTACTAGATGCTAAAAAAGCCTTTGCTAAAATCTAACACCCCTTCATGATAAAGGTCTTGGAGAGATTAGGGATAACAGGAACATAACTAAACATAGTAAAAGCAATATACAGCAAACCAACAGCCAACATCAAACCAAATGGAGAGAAACTCAATGTCATTCCTCTAAAATCATGAACAGGACAAGACTGTACCCTCTCTCCATACCTCTTCAATATTGTACTTGAAGTTCTAGATAGAGCAATACGACAACAAAAGGAGATCAAGGGGATACAAATTGGAAAAGAAGAAGTCAAACTTTCACTATTTGCAGATGATATGGCAGTGTACATAAGTGACCCGAAAAACTCTACACGGGAACTCCTACAGCAGATAAACACCTTCAGCAAAGTGGCAGGATACAAGATTAACTCAAAAAATCAGTACCCCTACTATATACAGATGATAAAAGAGCTGAGAAAGAAATCAGAGAAACATCACCCTTTAAAATTGCCACAAACAACATAAAATACCTTTGGATAACGCAAACTAAACAAGTGAAAGACTTGTATTGCAAGAACTTTGAATCTTTAAAGAAAGAAATTAAAGAAGATATCAGAAAATGGAAAGATCTCCCATGTTCTTGGATGGGTAGGAGCAATGTAGTAAAAAATGGCAATCTTGCCAAAAGCAATCTAGAGATTCAATGCAATCCTCATGAAAATCCCAGCACAATTCTTCACAGACCTTGAAAGAACAATACTCAACTTTATTTGGAAAAATGAAAGACCCAGGATAGCCAAAAACAACCCTGTACAATAAAGGAACTTCTGGAGGTATCGCCACCCCTGACTTCAAAACAGCTTGGTATGGGCACAAAAACAGACAGGTAGACCAATGGAATCGAATTGAAAACCCTGATATGAACCCACACACCTATGAACACCTGATTTTTGACAAAGAAGCTAAAATTATACAATGGAAAAAAGAAAGTATCTTCAACAAATGGTGCTGGCATAACTGGATGCTGGCATGTAGAAGACTGCAGATAGATCCATTTCTATAGCCATGCATAAAACTTAAGTCCAAATGGATGAAAGACCCCATCATAAATCCAGCCACACTGAACCTCTTAGAAGAGAAAGTGGGAGGTACCTTTGAAGGAATTGGTACATGAGGCTGCTTCCTGAACATAACACCAGTAACATAGTCACTGAGATCAACCTCCTGAATCTGAGAAGTGTAAAGAGAAGCCTTTCCTTGTTAGCCGCTTTGGTTTATCACCCACCAGTCGCCTGGGCTCTGCCACATTGTAGTCCCCAAATAACACACAAGACGAGACGCTGTATTAATTATGAAGCTGTTGGCCTTGCTTGGAGGTCTGGTTAATCTATGGGGCCTCTGGTAGTGGATCAGTATTTATCCCTAGTACATGAATGGAATTTGGGAGCCCATTCTACATAGAGGGATACTCTCTCAGCCTAGACACATGGGGGAGGGTATAGGCCATGCTTCAAATGATATGACAGACTTTGAAGATTCCCCCATGGAAGGCCTCACCTTCCCTGGAGAGCAGAAAGGGGATGGGATAGGGAGCTGGTGGGGAGCAGAAAGGGGAGGGAGAGGGAACTGGGATTGACATGTAAAACAAGCTTATTTCTCATTTAAAATTTTTAAAAAAGGGAAATATATGTAGTAGAGGAATTCTTCACTTCATATCATACAGGAAGCATGGCAAGGGACAAGAAGAGGCCATCGGCAAGATCCCCAGGACCTTAACAAGTGTTTAACTTTCTTCACTAGATCCTAGCTTATGAAGTTTTCAAACTAGCTGGATACAAAACTATGAAGGCATGGCCCCATGGGAAATAGTTGATAGCCAAAACATAATAGTTTTAAAGTTGTAGCCAAGGAAGGTGTGTGTGCTGAGGAAATTAACAACATTTGACAACAGCCAAGAAGCCAGCATGCTCCAGCTAGTGGCACTTTTCAAGCTCACAGGGTCACTGCAAACAAAATAGGCCATGAAAATAGGAAGGGCATGAGGAAGGAGGGCCCAGGGAGTGTAGGGAGGATGAAAATTACCAATATACATCTTATACGTGCGTGAAATAACAAAGATACAAACCCAGGCAAACAGAGGTTTTGGTGAAAAGAAACCCACGTGGTATACCACTCTCGCTGTGAGCCACCCAGAAAATCATTTCCAGGGATTTGTTTCCCCGTGCTGAACTGTCTAGGCTCCCAGAAGCTACTGCAGTCTGCTCCAAGTAGACCCAGACACTGCTGAAGTCAGCCCCAGAAATTGCATTGCCCTATTTGATTCTGGTTTCCCTTGGATCCAGAATGCATGAGTCATGGGTTTGTGGAGGCTTCCGATGAAGTTATGAAAGAGGCCCTAAGAGTCTAGGTGGCAGAACCAGGCCGCCTCTGAAGGGCGATGTGTGAAGCTGTGAGACCGCCCTGAGCCTGCATTGGAAACACTGGGGAGATCGGGAACCAGGACTGTCTATCCAAGAACTCTGTAGGTAGCAAAAGTAGCCAGCTGAAGAAAGGAATGTGTGGGCTCCTGCCAGAAAAGAGGGGGGCTGCTGCAACCCTGCTGAGCTCACATTGCACAATCATGTGCACAGGGGTTAGTCATGGAAGTACAGATTTTATATTTGTTTAACTGAATTCCCATCTTGCTTTTGGCCTGATCCTTCCTTCCCATGACTTTACCTCCCCCTTCTGAATGACAGCATTTCCATTGCATCATTGTATATTGGAAGTATGAAACTTGTTTGATTTATTTTATTTCTAATCAAATGTTATATCATTTCCTCCTTTCTCTCTCCCATACCCCCACTCCTTCTCAAATTAGGTACCTCTTTTTCTTTAATTAAATATAACTGTTGACTCTGTTTATTGTTGCTTGTACATATATATTTATATATTTATATTTCTAGGACTGACTGCTGGGTGTTGGATAATCAGATAGTGACTTCATCCCTGGAAAGACCAATTCTCTCTCTCTCTCTCTCTCTCTCTCTCTCTCTCTCTCTCTCTCTCTCTCTCTCTCTCTCTCTCTCTCTCTCTCCTATATATTATATAACATACACAATAAACATTATAATATATAATCAGCAGTAATTATTTACACATAGCTCTTCAACTAAGGGTAGGGCCCCATGAAACTTCTATCTACTCACATTGGGTAGTCAAACCAGCATTGGAATTGTTGAGGTCTTGCTTAGGCTGTCATATAGTTGATATTTCATGGGTGTAACTGCTTAGTCTAAAAGACACAATCTAAAAAACAACAGACTTCCTGAAGTGTTGACTCTTACAGTCTTTCTGCCTCTCTTCCCTGCCCCTTAGGTGTAGGAGTTGTGTTATGGATGTTTTAATGGGGGCTGGACACCCTGCAGTCAGTTGGTGTCTGCATTTTGACCAGTTGTGACTTTATTTAATGGTCTCATATCTGCTGCAATAGTAAAGGGTGAGAGCTACACTCACCTGTGGGTATAATAACAAGTATTCAGAACTCAGTTAGGAATTATGCTGCTTTAGAAAAACGACTTCTTTTAC